TACCACAGCTGTAGTACGCTGGTTGGCGTATGTGGTAGAGGCTTGGTAGAGAAAACAAAAAGAGTGATTTATTGTCCACACACAGACGCCTGGACTGTCTGCACCTGACGGTTAGACAGTAAAACAGAACGCCTTCACAATACCGTATCAAACACATACAGCAGAATAGAGTCGGTCTTGCACAGCAAACACCCCAACAGGAGGCAAACGAGAAGGAATGCCCATGATGACTCTACGAAGTGCAAGACAGCCAGACAGACGCACGACAAAGAAAGTACGTTCGGGACGCGCTCAGCCGAACTTGTTGCTTGTTCACCTTGAATCGCAAGTCCTGGTTGCACAGATTTTGGATAATGACAAACTGCGCTCCCAGAGCGAAGAACTTGGCTGACAGTACGTCTGGCACCAGGCCCGAGGAATTTTCACCCTCGTCAAGGACGGTTGATTCGCCTTCTTCAGGTTCTTTCTCGCTACTCACCTGCTTTCATTCGGCATGATGGCGCTCCCTGGTTAGTAGTCTAGACTACGCGTTTTTTCTAGAACTTTGGGAGTAGTAACTATTGAAAGCTCCAGAAGAACGAACTACAGTAGCACAACCTGTATGTAATCTACAGCAATATCCTGCGTTGAATTTTAGACTACAAAGATTGTCGTGGGGTCCGAATGACCCTGACACTTTCACTCCGAGGAGGGTGATTCCCCTCACGGGTATTGCTTTGATGGACATGTTCTCCACTCGTCACCCGCACCCGGCAGAAAATGCCAGGGTCTCCGACGAGTTTTCTTGCGGTCACCCACGCTTTGGCCAAGAGTATCCAGGTCTCCGGAAAAAAATTGTGCACGCATGCACGCATGTAATGTAGGCTTTACCTTTTCCAGCCGTTTTTTCCACCCCGCTCACTAGCTGTATATCGACCGGAAGGTCTTGCGGTGATTGTATGCAGGTGCAAATGTATCTTGAGCTACTGCTGTATGTAGTACCTTAGTGGGTAACTGCTGTTGTAAATTGTAGGACTTGGAAGGGGACGATGCAATATCACGGATGCAACTTGCTCGATGGCACAATGATTAGACCAAGCAAGCGCTGTTTTTGCGGCCCTTGAAATTATATCAGTGGTGGGAAGGGAGTTACAGCGGTAGTACGCAGACGACAGCAGTACATCGGGAAAAATAATGTTGTAGCTGCACTATAGCCAAGCCAACAGACGTCATGATATGTACATCACCTCACGTTGTCCTGAGTTGCGATGGATCCTCCTGCCGAGAGTACATCTCGGAAAACAATCGAAGTGTGCGCGACTCGGCGAGCCTTATCTCGAGGTATATCAGGGAAGGCATACATACATGAAGGTCCCGTGAGTGTGCGATGAGGTTGGGTTATCTGTCAGTGCTGCTGACTGCGTTTGTTGCGGTTCGTCGGGCTATTCACGGTGCGATGTACGGCAGTCCCACACCCAAACACACCAAGTAGACACGAACACAGGACATCAACACATGGACCTGTTCTTTGCACACAAACAACGCCAGCGCGACCACACGACCTGGCGGGTGTGTACTGATAAGACTGAGTTAAAGCCGTGCTGCTACCAGAAGGTGGCGGAGTGCAGCCTTGCGACCATCGATGTACTCAAGGGGAAATTGGTGAGGATCGGCTAGAAAAAAAAAAAAATGGTACAAACGAGATACAACCAAGGTCGAACGGGATGTGTTGGAAGTCTGCGCAATGAATGGAGGGAAATCGGCTGGATTACAGCAGTAGTCTACAGCAGTAGTGCAGTAGGTCACAATTAAAAAATCAAACATTCCGTACCAGCAATGATCAGTGCCTCTCGTTCCACAACACAGCAGTCTAGACTAGTCTAATAAGTAATTTGTTTGATGTTTGAAGAAAGGTGCATCTAGTCTAGTCGAGAGCAAACCCATGTAGCTACATGTGCATGTACACGCTGTAGACGTAATTTGTGTAAGGGAGTTGGACAAACTCCGCATCATGAAGTATGTAGTCAATGACGTCTACTTTGCACGGTGGTCTAGTCCCCTGCGAAAAACACGTTCTCATGTTTTTTCGACCCAATGGACCCACAATCTTTCTGGGCGGCAGTCTACCATGTTGTACCACTTACACCTTGTGGTACGTGTATGTTTTGATCACCAGCGGCACTCTACACATCCCCTGTCAGGAGGAGGTCCCCGCCTGTCTCCTGCCGCGGTCGTCTTCAACTTCATCGCAAGACGGGTTCAGCAGTCCTTTGACTTTACACGGTTGACAAAACGCGTACGTACTTACGAACGCTGTGGTTCGTAAGCGTGTCCGCGGATTTGTACCGAATCCTTTCGCATATACATGAAAAACGAGATCCGTGCACAGAAGGTGACAGGCTTTCTTTGAGGGAGAGGCAGCCTGTCATCCCCGGTTGCGCATGGCAGGACACCAACACACAACACCCAATAGACGACGTGTATATGTCGCTGCGTGGCTACACACACCACGAACGAAGGGAACAGTGACACACACGCACATTGACGTGCACCTGATGATCCCTCACGGTACCTGCTCCAACACGATCATGCCTGTCAACACAGGAACGCTCCAACGCGAGAATCGAAGCAGAGCTGGAACGGCGGCTCGTAAGACAACAGCAACGGCAGCTATAGCGACCAGCCCGCAGTGAAACCCGTGGGCTCATGTGTGCAGTGCGACCTTTACACATGGAGAGCTATCGGCCATATGCTTCTTATCAAGGGGACAGGACGGGTCGACGCGTGTAGAGCTCTTACGACACTCGTAGTTTGACACTGGCTAACTTGACTCAAATCACAACACCCTTGGGTGAGCTAGACGCATATAAATGGACTTTTAACAGAGGACAACGCCTTACGGCGCAGGGCGCCGCGGATTAGCACAAAACACAACCACAATATCTTAGCAGCCACAAGGCTTGCTGCATTGAACGGCGGACACATGCACGCGGAGCGAATCAGAGCCCGACATCGCGAGCATCTTGACGGAACTACAGTAGCACGGTAACACCGAGTGTGCTTACGTAACAAACGCCCTCCAAAGTTCTTAGCAGTCCTCGAATCCGTGATCGGATGCGTAAGTGAGGACGGCAAACGATGCCGCCCACACCGCCATGTCCCTGAATCGGCATTTCCAGAACATGGCATTCCTCTCAGCTTGGCCGGCGTCGCGCCTCGCCTCCTTCAAAGCCCTTTCCACCGACTCGTTAACGTTAAACGCCATGGTCGGATGCACGGGAGGCGGAGCGTGGGAGCTGGTGGTCGCGCTCGGAGGTGCGACAGGCGGGGGGACAGCCGTCGGGTTGAACATACGGGGTGGGGGCGCCCTTGAGGGCGCCACAGCCTCGCCAGTCAGCGTCGAATCGCTACGGGGGGACGGACCCCCGCCCTGCTGGTCCTCCCTTGCCGGTGCCGTGCCCGTCGGCGACACGCCCGTCGGCGACACGCCAGCTGTCAACCCCATGGGTGGAGGAGGCATTCGCTTGTTTTCCGATGCTTCCCTGTCTTCGATGGCCGGCTTCGGAGACGCTTGGAACAAGTCCGCCTCACCGCGGAGAGTTGGTGGGGTACGCGGAGCTGCTGGCGCATCGATGGCAGCGGTTGGCATCATCGCAGGAGCAGATGTTCTGCGGTTGCGCAAGGCCGCACTGCCTGGGGGCTCTGCGGACCTAGAACGTGACGTGGACGCTTGCATTCCCTTCTTCCTGTTCGCCTTTCGTTCCTCCCGTTGTTTCTTGAGGTACTCAGCCCGGTCTTTCTTGGAAACGCCATCCTCTACCAGCGGCCCTGTCGTCCTGTAAGGTGGAGCATTCTGCGCGAAATAGACACCAGAGCGACCACGCAGCAGACATTACAAGTCAAACCCCCATGTGCCTCGCACGCAACAGCTCGTAGTTGAATGATGACACCTCGCCATCACATAAACCAGCTTGTGTTTGTACGTCATGTAGGGTGAGCGTGAAAAGTACAATACCTTGTTGAAGAGGGAAACGAACTCCCACCGTCGGAGCTAGACCAACAGGACGAGATAATCTAACCACTCGTGGCCTTGCGTGAGAGGCACGCGGAGGCCTACTTTTGATGTCTGCAGCGTGTCCGCTCCGGTGTCTGTTTCTCGCGGGGTGCGAGTGTGAATACAACTTCACAGAACGGCCTAGACGTGGACATGAATGTCGACGCAGCAAGTGCTGGCGTGATTGAACAGGCTCTGTCATGATGGCCCCGAAGGACCCGTAGAAAGCCGAGGCTGCCGATCTGTCAGACTTGAGGAGGGTTGTGAAAGTCACTCATGACCCTCCTCACGTCCGACAGATCAGCAGCCTCGACTTTTGCTGACAAAAGTCTGTACAGTCACGCCATCACTTGCTGATTCGACGTTCATGTCCACGTCTACGCTGTTGGGTGAAATATCCACACTCGCACCCTACGAGAAACAGACACCGGAGCGGAAATGCAGCAGATATAACACGGCAGCCCCCACGTGCTTATCACTCAAACGGCTTGTTTTTGAACGACAACAGCTCGCCATCACATAGTCGAGCTATGTACTTCGACGTCGGGTGAGTGCTGAAACGTAAAAGGATCAATTGATGAAGGAAGACTTTCGCGAAGGCCCAACAACATATCCACCGTTACAGGCCTTAACCAACAATGAGTTATAAACGAAGTCCCCGAGAAAATTCCCACCACTCGCAGCAACATATCTTCCTGAAACCACAAGTTCAACACGATTAAAACCACTGCCACCGACAAAGAGGTGAATCACAAAAATGACGGGCCCTAGATAGTACATCCCGTAAAAAGTGAAGCAAGCACCTGAACACGAACTCGTACGGAGACACCATTGGGGCTTAGACTCTTGTCTCACCTTTAGGACTCTCAAGCCCGTAGAATCGGTAGCTGTGGCTGCCTCGGCCTTCTGCTGGTCGATCGGCACCGTCGGTGCGATCGGCGGCCCTGGCAGAGCCTCTTCACCCACGCCAGCATCGACGTTCATGTCGACACTCGCACTCGTTTGGCGGCCAGGCGATGGCGAAGTCTTTTGGGTCTCTCCGTTCAGCTTCTCTTCGTGGGGAACCGGTCCTATCTCAAGCACCATGGTTCCATCTTTCGCCACATTGGTGTTTCGAGTCTCTCTTTTCAGCTTCTCTTCGTGGGGAAGTTGCTCAATCTCAAGCATCATGGTCCCATCCGTTGCCACGTTGGCGTCTTGCGTCAACGGCGGTTGCGCGTACAACACGCCAAGCGTCGCCTGTCACAAGTTAGTAACAAACGGACGCCATCCAGAAAAACCGGCAACAGCAGGCGCCGTCTTTGCCTTGATCGCTGTGAAAAAAAACTTACCTACATCCACTGAATAGGCGTCAAGCTTTACAAGAACAGGAGGCACCCCATACATCCTACTGCTTGAGCATGGCACAGATGTGCTGGCCACGCGACGCACGCACCTGGGCCTTCATGGCTACGTCGTCCATCTCTTTCCGCGCGTCAATAAGCGCGAGCAAAGATGCAGTGGGCGCGCCCGCAAGTTCACGTGCAACCGTTTCGGCCTCCTTCTCCACCATGAGTCGAACCTCCGAGGTGGACAGCTGCAACTGCTCTCGACAATTGCCACGTCGGCGACTCCGCCCTCTGTCGGTACGCGTCTGTTCCATCATGCTCGATGATGCACTTTCTGGCTTGCCCTTCTGCGACACCGTGAATTTACGTCCATCACGGGACGGCATCCGTTGGAAAGCATGAAATATCGCAACTGTGGAACAGGCGGGAAGCCCCCTACGCGCCACCGGACAATGTGTGCACAGCAGTTTACAGTGTAGTTCACGAGTATCGCCGATGGTACCATACTATTACACGTACCTGGATGCGGGCCTGATTCTGTTCCTTTGTCCGTTTCCTCAGGGCTTCATTGCTCAAGGCCAGGTAAAAGTGACCCCATCTTCGGAAAGCCAACATCAGAAGCCGCTCCTTTCTGAGATTCGTCAAACCAAAACCATACCATGGTAAGACCAAAACGACGCGAAAGGATTCGTGATCAAAACCACAACAAGTGTGTCGGGTGAGGACAACTCAGAAAGGCGAGGCACTTATGTTTCGGAAACAGACGAGAAAGCCTGACCAGGTATGGTGAGGAATCCAACAAAGGAGTGGCAGGTTGTTGTTGTTGTTGTTGTTGTTGCTGTCTTCATACTAAACTCGTGTCAGTTGCTAATCCCAAAATCTAGCAAAGACGCGGTCCGTGGTCACAAAAATGGTAGAGCCATCAGAAGATCTAAAGATCACGCAAACTAGCAAAATCAAGGGTACACAAGCCCGAAGAGGTACGGTACACCTACATCCCTGCAGCACGTTTGCGTGCCAAAAAACTGATCTACCCTTCCACACACTACATTCGACTACTGCAGCATCATCCCCCTTGTCCCACACTTGACCAAAAATTTTCGACTATAGGTAAGGAGGAAAAACTCCGACAATTACGTCATCCTGCTCTATTGGAATGCGCACAGTCACCGCACGCTGATTCACCCTGATCCATCTATCAAGCGTACAGTAATACCTACCAAACGTTTCCAACGTACCCTATTTCTTCAGCAGGCGATGGCCATATTTTGCGTTGTTTCATACGTCGCATATCGTAGGTTGGGGGGGGGGGGGGTNNNGGGGGGGGGGGGGTTCAGAACCTCTTGCGAATACACAAGTATCGCTTTCCTATAGATGATGGAGATATTCCTTTATCGTCCCCCTTCCGCCACTTACTGTGTTCCAACGATACCTGCCAGGGACCAACAGTCAAAAATGTGGCGAAATTTCGGTAGCTAGAAACGCTGCGCAATGGCATACTTTCACACCTGAGGGTCGCCTTGACGGTCTCCACTTCCTCCTTGGCTTGCCGGAGAGCCTAGGTCAGGAATATTCGGCACAAAACCAACGACGAGATCAAGTCAAACTACTACCTCCCTCATGCGTGAACACGATTGCTTCCCCGCCTCAGGGGTGTGAGAGGGCGGCCAGCAAAGAAAGTCTTGAACCACATCACATAAGGCAGAGTCGATCAGCCCGGTTGTTCAGTTCGGACTCTCGCAACCTTCCGACGATCGAACGCGAGTTCAAATCTCGGTGCAGTCACCCGAATTTTGAACCTTTTGTCGCACCACGCCCAAACAAGTGCAATACCACAATGATGTTTCACATTGCACAAATTCGACTTGACCGCTGAACCTTTCTCACGACAAACCTGAAGGCAAGCGCCGCAAAAGCAAGGTGAAGACAACGAACACACAAAATCTTTCGTGACCTTCGCTCGTGTGTCCAAACATACCGACAGTGCTCACGCCCAGATTACATGGAATACCAACACACGCACGAGGGAAGCACGCAAACAAGAGTAACACTACCTCAACGTAGCATTGTTTCGGCACCAACGTGTTTGTCCTGGGTAACCGCTGCTCGGGGAGCCCGTTCGCCAGCTTTTCGAGATTGTGCACTTTGGCTTGCATCTGGAGGGTAGCCGGAATGTGCTCTAGGCTAGTACACCTATATTGCGGAACGGCCTTCAGATAAGCACTCAGACAAAAATCGAATCCGCACACTTGCCATCGATTGAAAGTAAGATCAAACCCTACAACCCCTGCCACTTACCTCGTGCGTTACACTGTTTTCGTTGCATTCCCTCACGACCGGTGCGCTTTCGACCACCTGAGCGGTGTCACCAAGACCGCTATCGTCTTGGACTACCGCGCTGCGCAACACAAAACGAAGAAAGGGAAAATCCGGTATCCACTGAGCACGCCTCCATAAGAACAGTTGCGTGCTTCGCGTGTGGGCCATGCTGAAAAGGACTGAACATTTAACAGTGAGTGTGATGTATCGCAAAGCCAGCACCGAACGCGGTGTATGAACGTGAGCGTCTCCTTCATGGTCTTGGAACAGGATGAAAATGCTATGCACAGCAGCATCAAACCACCTTCATGCTTGGGAGCGTCTCTAGATCTGTCTGTAGATTTGCAGTCACCTTCGCGAAAGCTCCAACTCTGCAACTTGTAGTCGACGCTGCAGACTGCTGACGCCATTGATGATCCAGCTCCACCCTGAATCCAGGGCAACCTCTCCCTGTGCACGATCAACAAGATTACACAACAACCCCACGCAATTTCATTAGATACACAGCAACCTTTGGCACGGGACACATGGTACAGTGACGTCCTTGCCGCACTGCGGCACAAAAACTGCAAGTAGGGAAGGAATGTTGTGCTTCAGCCAACGAAAACTCGGACTCGACAACAGGGGGTACGCCTTGCCATGTTGTCCAAGTGCTGCGGGTGATGATCTGCCTTGGAATGCGCACCTCGACCGCAGTCTGTTGCAAGGCCTGCGCCGTGGCTTCCAGTACGTCCTCCGCAGTCGCCAACTGTCTCTTCAAAACGGCGATCTTATCCAAGATGCTGAGGCTGGACACGGCAGCTTCTCCGACGCGGTCGCACCTGATCAACATGTGCGAGGTGGACAACGAGGGCAGTCGTAAATTCCAGATTATGGGGCTTTTGTTGCGTCCAGAGGAACGTCAGAATTCAGGCCTTCCTTGTACACTACGACGCTGTCGACGAAACACTTGCGCAGTCTGATACAGAAGTGCAGAATATTCGTCATGGGTCTTGGACCATACGCTAACGTCAAGAAATGAATAACACCTGCAATTAATGTTATGTCCATGGTGCCGCCTTCCCCAAAGGAACAGTTTCTGTCACAACGCTTCGCTCTGGGATTACCAAGCCTAAAACTCGTCATTTCCGCTATTGTGACATCGAAAGGATACGGACATTATGACTCACCCAACCAGCTCAGCGATATCTCTCAACGCCACCACGAGCGCCGTCCGCGCCTCCTCTGTTTGGTCCACAGTTTGTAATGCAATCGCTTTCTCTTCCTGCTGCGAGTGAATCACATCCTGCATCTCTAAAAGCTTCGCATTGGCCTGGCCGAACTCGCTTGTGAGAGCCGCGGTGGTCTCTTTCAGGTGGATTTTCTCCCGTTCCAACTCGCCGACAACGCTCTGAAGCTCAGAAATCTTGGACAAGGCACACTGCAGGTCGCTTGCGCTCGCACGGGCGGACGCGAGCTCTTCCGCCGTGGACTCCGAAGCCTGTTGTGATCCTAACACTTCGGACTCGACCTCCTTTATCCGGCGCTCCAGTGAGTCAGCAAGGGCTAAGGCCGACACCGCCTCCTGTGCCTTTGCAGACAGTTCTTGAGACGTGGACTCCAAAGAATTCTGTAACCCCAACACTTCGGACTCGACCTCCTTTATCCGGCGCTCCAGTGAGTCAGCAAGGGCTAAGGCCGACACCGCCTCCTGTGCCTTTGCAGACAGTTCTTGAGACGTGGACTCCAAAGAATTCTGTAACCCCAACACTTCGGACTCGGCCTCCTGTATGCGGTGCTCCAGAGTGTCAGCAAGGGCTCTGGCCGACACCGCCTCCTGTGCCTTTGCAGACAGTTCTTGAGACGTGGACTCCAAAGACTTCTGTAACCCCAACACTTCGGATTCAGCCTCCTGTATCCGGTGCTCCAGAGAGTCAGCAAGGGCTAAGGCCGACACCGCCTCCTGTGCCTTTGCAGACAGTTCTTGAGACGTGGACTCCAAAGACTTCTGTAACCCCAACACTTCGGATTCAGCCTCCTGTATCCGGTGCTCCAGAGAGTCAGCAAGGGCTAAGGCCGACACCGCCTCCTGTGCCTTTGCAGACAGTTCTTGAGACGTGGACTCCAAAGACTTCTGTAACCCCAACACTTCGGATTCAGCCTCCTGTATCCGGTGCTCCAGAGAGTCAGCAAGGGCTAAGGCCGACACCGCCTCCTGTGCCTTTGCAGACAGTTCTTGAGACGTGGACTCCAAAGACTTCTGTAACCCCAACACTTCGGATTCAGCCTCCTGTATCCGGTGCTCCAGAGAGTCAGCAAGGGCTAAGGCCGACACCGCCTCCTGTGCCTTTGCAGACAGTTCTTGAGACGTGGACTCCAAAGACTTCTGTAACCCCAACACTTCGGATTCAGCCTCCTGTATCCGGTGCTCCAGAGAGTCAGCAAGGGCTAAGGCCGACACCGCCTCCTGTGCCTTTGCAGACAGATCTTGAGACATGGACTCCAAAGAATTCTGTAGCCCAAACACTTCGGATTCAGCCTCCTGTATCCGGTGCTCCAGTGAGTCAGCAAGCGCTGTGGCCGACACCGCTTCCTGTGCCTTTGCAGCAAGCTCTTGAGACGTGGACTCCAAAGAATTCTGTAACCCCAACACTTCGGATTCAGCCTCCTGTATCCGGTGTTCCAGAGAGTCAGCAAGGGCTCTGGCCGACACCGCTTCCTGTGCCTTTGCAGCTAGCTCTTGAGACGTGGACTCCAACGAATTCTGTAGCCTCAACACTTCGGATTCAGCCTCCTGTATCCGGTGCTCCAGAGTATTCGCGAGGGCTGTGGCCGACGCCGCCTCCTGTACCTTTGCATTCAATTCTTGAGACTTGACCACTAGTGTGTCTTCTGCCTCCACTAAGCGAGCCCGTAGCTCGATGACTTCATCCTGCATGGGGTGGACCAACAAGCACAGTGTTGCGATATACGAACTGTCTCAACACAGCAGCCACCATTTGAACTATTCGAGCGACAATCCGCTTTCACTAGGTATTACCACTACGGATATGGAGCTCCATGCCCCCTGCTTTACACCTTCTGAAAACACATCTCGCCGAACTACTCTGGAGAAATCGCAAATGAGAGCTTTCACGGAGAATTACAGCACTCCAATGCTGCATTATGTTTTTCCCGAATCCGGTAGGGTGGGTCAGATGACCACCAAAAGTACGAAAATATCAAAGGTTTCAAGGCAGATGTAACTCATCAAAACAGCCGTCTGGCTCCCACGTGCGACAAGGCGGCCACTTACTTGTTCACTCTGCGCCTCACTTTCCTTGGCCACCTTCTTGTAGTGCGACACCTATCAGCAATATGTTCGAAGATCGCATCAACAAGCGCAATGATCGTGAGGGAAGGAGAACCGCGGCATGGTTCGATAACATCGATAACAACGCAGCACAAAGGAAGGCGCTGATGTACAGGCACCGACCGACCCAGAAGCAGTGCCACAGTTCGTTTGGCGAAGTCAATGAATTTGGCAAACCACACGTTCATAAGCCAACGTCCGCTAGCATGAATATTTCTCCATTTATCGTTGGTCTGCCACCTTCAAGCACCACCTGTGTCAAGGGTACCCATAACGTTTCGTGTACCAAACCTACCCCGTTGTATTATTCGCATTCGTTGACATCGTGTTCAACAATTGCATCAGCGTCTTCACGGACCTGCTTTCGAAGGGTGATGCATTGCCCTGTGAGTTCTTTGACTTGTTTCTGGATAGCCACCTTCTCACGGGCCATGGCGCTAAGCTGCCCCTCGAAGGATTCCAACGTGTATCTCAGCTCTAATTCCATCGCATCCGCCTGGAACGACCAAGAGTTGGGCAAAAGAAGCCGTACACACAGCAGTGTTTGTTCGTGAGTGACAAACGCGAGTTACACCTCAGGCCTCGATAACAGCAAATCGGACAGGAACAAATATGCGGACCAAAAGTGACAGCTGGCGATAGCATAAACTACGACTACAGGTAGCTTCCGCTGACATAATGGACCAATTGCTAATCTATCCTTGGCTCTCCTACAGAAATGGATCGTTGTGTCGTATTAAGGGGGTGAGGGAGAAGAATTTCGATGTTGAATTCTTGAAAACAAACGCAAGAGCACCAGAGAGAACCAGAATTGCACGATCGACACACAAGACCAGTCCGAAGGCGTCGCCAAAAACAGAAAGGATAATCATGAAGTGGCGTCGTGCGAGCTGGCACGTTCAGATATGCTATAAACTGGAGCTGACGTATCGAAGGGTCGCAGCAGCCGCTGACAGTCCGAAATCTGTGCCGAACCAAGCGGCATCCAACATTTGTCACAGCCGTCCTACCGCCACTGACCCCAATCTCCTAAATTGCGTGTTTACAGCAGAAGTTAATGCCACTAGCTACTGCTGACACCCGCTCAGGGGTTTACGGTCCGTGGCGGTGAGCAAGGCTGTGACAAATGTTAAATGATGCTTGGTTCCGGCGCAGATTTCGGACTGTTTTCAGCGGCTGCTGCGACCTTCGATATTTCAGCTCCAGTAACAAAACCTGAACATGCCAGCACGCGCGGCTCCTCTTCACGGTGTCCTCTACTGTGACAGTAGAATGCACCACCTAACCCTGGCGGGGAGGTTCTTTTCCTTTGTAGGATTAAAGAATGGGAAAAGAGCCAGCGTCCAAACCCCTCTTCTTCACCCCCTCAAGAAAATAAAAAACTGCAACCCCATCAAATAATGCCGTTCGAGCCGCCCAGTGACAAGATGCAACGGAATTGAACAGCTCAAGAAAGCGCCAATTCATACCTCTGGTCGGACAACCAGACACCTGCTGATTTCCAACTTACATGCGCTTGAAGTTGTTCAGCCTCAGCGCTTCTAGAGACAGTGGCCACCCCATTGGCCATCGCAGAGGCTTCTTTTCCGCCAGTGAAAGCGTCACCGTTGCTACCCGGAGCAGGTGACCCAAAGAGAATGTCCGCGCACGTGTCGCCGTTTACGCTGCCAAGCAAGGAGGAAGCAGAAACAGAACGAGCAGCGTCCAAATCACATACCATCGCTCTTTGCAGCACCAACATGAGAGGGTGCGAATGCTGCCGGAAGAACTGCGGCCTCGATACGTGTCCTTTCTTTGATTCGCTCACCTAAGCACCGGTGCTGCTACGACTGGGGGTGGGGCAGGGGCTCCCGCCGCCGCTGCTGCTGCTCCAGCAGCCCACTCCTCTCGAGCCCGAGCTACCGAGGTCGTTCTTTCTGTGATGGAACAGTCAGATGCATAGCATACGCCGATACTACATGTCATAATTACAACTACTTTCCCAACATAAATATTGCCCTCCCCAGAACCGCGCAAGCAAGAACATGTGACACATCAGACGCTTTCTGGAACGAAGACGACAGGGCGGAAACTGAGAAATTGAGCGAGCTTCTGTGCAGAAGCAAGCACAACAATTCGCCATGGGGCGGCTACAGATGCCTGGGGCCGCATCACTGCTGTTGCGTCATCCCAAGAGCAAACGAGGAACACATGTTTGCATGTCAAACGAAACATCGAATGTTGTTTCTCATTTAACGTCGGGTGTGTTTGGGGGTTGAACGAGAGAGTTCGAACAAGGTTACCTGCCTTGAACTAGTTCGTGAAGTGCCACGATGTCTCGGTGGTATTTACCTCTAACAGCACACGATGCAAATGAAACATCACCCCGCTGCGATAGCGATTATCATTCTAAACGCCATCGTTGTATTGCTTTGGCAAACATATTTTACTTGGGGGGTGTAACTATTGTAGTCAAGGTGTGCGGAGCTCTACTTCCACTGGGATCTGGGCAACATACACCGTGCCATGATTCGACTCCACACCTTCAACGACATAGATTTCATGTGCATTGCATTCTCACCTTCCAACTGGTTCGCGTTGAGGCTTGACAACTTCTCCTGCTGCTCCTCGATGACCGCTTCAAGCTGGGTTGCCGAAGCCTTTGCCTCGCACAGCTGTGCCTCGAGAGCGCGCACATCGTTTGTCAGTTGAGCACCCTGCTGCCGTGACTCTTCCCAGGCTTTCTCGGCACGTACCTTCGCACTCTCCGCCCTCTCTGCATCGGTTTCTGCTGCTATGCGGGCCTCGTTCACTCGTGTGATGTCGTCCTGAGCCTTGGACAGGGCCGAGTTGGCACGCTCCAGTTCCTGACGCAGTTCTTCAATGTCTGTCGTGTTATCTCGAGCAGCAAGCACGGCCGCGTTTGCACGCTCCAGTTCCTGACGCAGTCCTTCAATGTCTGTCGTGTTATCTCGAGCAGCAAGTACGGCCGCGTTTGCACGCTCCAGTTCCTGACGCAGTCCTTCAATGTCTGTCGTGTTATCTCGAGCAGCAAGTACGGCCGCGTTGGCAAGCTCCAGTTCCTGACGCAGTGCTTGCACACGTGCAGCGTTCTCTTGAGCGGCAAGCGCGGCCGATGCGTTGACACTCTCGAGCTCCCGGCGCAACTCTTCGGCCTGCGCGGTACTCTCTTCAGCAGCAGATGCGGCCTCTTGCTTTGTGATTGCTAATTCGTCGTGCAGTTCTTGAGCACGTGCAGCATGCTCCCTTGATGCGTCTGCCGTGACCCTCTTCAGTTCGTCACCGAAGTCTGTAGCTTGCTTTGCATATTCCTGCTTCATTGTCAACGCTTCCACCGTAAGTCTCTCCACTTCTTTGCGAAGTCCTTCAGCTTCCTCTGTTGCCACAGACGTGCCATGCAACGCTCTTTCTGCGTCGCTCTCTGCACGGGTGGCCGCCGCGTCTCTCTCTGTATATGAAACAACGCAACAGCAATACAAAAAGGGCATCCTATTACAGAGTCGTACATCTGACCAAGACACTGTCGAGTGTAACGACTTCAACCTTCAGGGGAACTTTAGGAAAATGACTTCCCGTCGTTGGTGTCCTCCACTTGGATAGGCCAGATGAACCGTGCAAGAACTTACCGGCGAGCTGACCACGGAGTGTTTGCACGTCGTCCGTTAGTTCCGTCACTTTCTGCATCGACTCTCGAAGCCGTCTCTCCTGGGCGTCTGCGTGCGCACGGAGCTCGCCTAAGTTGGAAGTGGCCTCGGCAACCTCGCCCTGATACATATGGGCGACCTGTGTCAACTCCGTAATTTTCTGCGACGAATCAGCTAGGTCCCTCTCCACTTGGGACGCCTGCTGTCGCGTATCCTGGAGCAGGGTTTCCAGCTCGATTACTCGACCTGATAATTGCTGGACGCTGTTTTCGGCGACGTCTTGCGCCTCATGCCTGCGCTTCGCCTCCCTCTGGGATATTTCCAGCGCAGCCCGCGCCTCCGTGAGGTGTCCCGTGACGGTCTGGGTTTCCTCCTGGGCAAGCCTCAGGTCTTCCTGCACACCCTCGAGCTTTACTTCTATCGTGGTCGCGATTTCACCAGCAGTACGCCTCGCGTCCTCTCCAGCTTGTGCCGTAGCTTGCGCCGTTGCACAAGCTGCTCGACAGTTCGAGAGTTCGTCGCAAGCTTGCCGTAACTCCTGCGCTTGCTTGGCGAAAGCATCACGGAGAGCGTTTTGCTCCGACTGGGAGTTGGCATCTAGAATTGCAATCTCTTCCCTAAGCTCGGACACCTGCGCCTCAAGTCGATTGCGCACTTCCGCTTCCTGGGCTTGCGCTTGCTCTCTGGCTAGCTTCGCCGCGGAGTTGGTATCCTGAGCAGCAGCGAAAGCATCTTCCATCTCCTGCACAAACAAAAACACGGACATTGACGTCACATGCGAGCGAGCCGGACAGCCGGACAGGTTTGAAGCAACACACCGTAATAAACCGTGTCAGTTCAAGCCCACTCGAATACAACCCGTCATGCACAGCAGCGCCTGTCGAAAAAACTAACTTTGCCAAGAGCACGGGGGTATTTCAGCATTCCGAGACGCAACGCGTGGTACTAGCGTGCCGACTAACCTTGGGTGCTGACTTGAGCCGGCGTAGCTGGTCAAGAACTGTTGCATGCTGGCGATGTTCGTCCACGTCCTCATCGCTGCCGTCGTTGGTCTTGTCCTGAAAGTCTGGACTGATTGCACCGTAAATCTCGAAAAGTCTGCAGAAGTTGCACCCCGATCAGAACAGGAATCAGGATCGGTCAGATACTATTTCTCAGCCTTGTACAACTCAGTTGTATAATGACTACACGGAAGAGCCATGCCGTCTTCTACGCTCTTCAACCATCACAAACACAAACACAAACAAGAGATTTCATCATAGAAGGGAGCCTCTTCACATTATCCTGCTATGCGATAGTATAAGCCTTCGCCTGTCGCGAGGAAAGCGGCAGTATACGGGGCGGTACCTCTTTCTGCAGGTGCTGTTTGCGTCGATGGCCACGTCCAACCTCGCCTCCGCCTCGTCAACCTTGTCTTGGAACAACGCGTATGTTTCACCCTAGCCAGAACAGCCGATCGAAAGAGAGGATTAGGCCTGGCTTCTGGACGCTGACTCCGTGGGGACTAATAAAGAAACAACACCATGAGCATCTCGTTTCCACCTTCTCATATAGAAGGAACGCCCAACAGACATCCGTCAGCACGGCGCCGCACGGTCGATTCCGACTAGCATGCGGTGCCAGTGTCTGCTCAAGAGTATCATTTGGAACCTTCTCCAGCACTGCCGCCCCGTATGCGCACTCTTGCATTTAACTTCAGGTGTTTTTAGGTGATCAGACTACAGATTCAAAGGGGAAGGCCGGAAGCCCACCAAGAGTTGCAACACCAGATGGATGCCCGTCCAACCAAAAACAAACACGGTCGCACCATGGATTCTGTCGGTCGAGGGCAAACGTGACTCACCTTTCTGATGACTTCCATTTGATTCTCTAGCTCCCTGGCCATCGAGTACCAACGTCCCTCGTCGTCAGCAAGTTTTTCATTCGACGTCGTAAGGCGGGCGACCTCGGCCTCAAGCTCCTTGTTGTCTGCCTTCACCGCCTCCACCTTTTCCCAACAGACCGGAAGACAGAGAGCACGAAGGAACGACGGTCGGCAGGCCACGAATTGGCTCACCGTGAGAGGGTATTTTGAACGAAAGGCAGGGGATATCACGTGGTAGGCGCAACAGCAGCCCAGCATCCATATGATGCACTTGCAGATTCCCGACCTGTCACGAAACTTTCGATCGTCCTCAAAGGACACAACGGAATGTGGATCATTTCCCCGCTGATTTCCAACCATGTTTCCGTCTTTTTAGTTTTCGGCGAAACCATACCTGTTAAAAAGCGCAGAGAGATTGGGCCGACACACAGCAGCGGCCGTCTCGACACAACTACAGCCACCTGTTTGCTGAGCTGCGATGCCATTTCATCCTGTGCGGACAGCCCCTCACCTTTCACATCTACTATTTTTGAAAAAACATGATGCACAAGTAATTTCTCGATTTGTTGCTTAGGGTGTCTCCCTGATCCCAACAAAAAGTGAAGGCGATCGTTATTTTTCAACAAAGCAACGACTGGATATCGGGGTTTTGTATCGGAGAGATAGCTGGCTGACAGACCGCAGTGGTCTCGACTCGACTAAATTATAGGCACCTGTTTGCTGAGTTGCCTGACATCGTTTTCTCTCTCTGCTAGGGCTTCGCCCGCATGCACGTACTTGTCCATGATTTCCATCATCATGTCCTGAGGAACGCGACAAGAAACACGTTGGGACGACCGTCGGTTTTGTGCCATCTTTCGGTCTCATTCTGGAGTGCACAGCATGCAACATTTTCATACCCTACACGTGGTACTTGGCCACAAGATCTACGACCTGCTGGTTCTCGCTTCCTGCCGGTGTCAACAGGAAAGGTTCTACATTGCCGGTGTTACAACTGCTGTGGTGCTTTTCCTACGAATCGATGCTGCTGAACATTTCGTGGCTCCGTTTGTGAAACTAGGGACTCTCCGCAGGCTTCACCTCTGGTCCCTTTGACGTAGTACCCACGAATCCATCCTCTTCTGCTCCATCAGAGTCGTCACCACCCTGCGCAAGAGTCAGGCGTGGACTGAGGTTTGCGCTGTGTCCAGAGAGGCAAGAGCGGGGCAACGGACCCGTGCGTGGCCTACTACAGAAGTGTTTCCGAACGCGAATGAGAGAAATGAACACACACTATACACACTGCTGTAAGCACGTTGCGCACCTGTACCGACACACTCGTGGCAACCAGGTTGGAGTGCCGAAAGTCTTTCCATGCCATGGATGTCTTCATTTTCCCACACCGTGTGACGGTGCGGAACCTCGGTGTGGGGCGGGGGTGGGTATGTGTGGACCCCACCCGCGTAGACACGAGGAGCCGGGGTGCGGCAGAATACCGGGATCGTGGAGACAACAAGATGCGTAGTGAGGAGTAGATGGAGGACTTTTGCCGTGCAGCAAGGATTGCCAAGCTGCTCGGAATTGGCTGCTCAGCTAGAGCGAACGACCCTGGGTGACAATTTCCGCCCCGACCCTTTCCTCCAACGAGGCTAAGAGTGAGTTGCCAGTTTACATTTGCAGTCGCACAGTCGCACAACCGCGGGGCGACGCAGGTGTAGCGATGATGGCACCAAGGGAGGGTCGAGCGAGGGGTACACCGGACTGTAGAAGGTTGCGGTTCGTTTCTCCAGCGGTTTCAGATTGCAAACGCATAGTGCGTACGACGACACACACGGACCATAGCCGGTTAGCGGTGTCGATGCTAATAATAAAAACACACGGGCATACGTGTACACAATAACTCACGACATTACGACATTATTGTAACGAATAGAAACACAGATCTTCCGCCTGGGACTTGCTAAAAATAACACTTCAAACAACAAAATAAAATACTGCGGTATAGTTGTCTTCACATCATGTAGTTAGCTACTTTGCACATACATCAAACGCGGTTTCCGACCTCTCTATCCAGTACCTTCATCTGTCGGCACTAGTCTAACACTTGACGGCGTTATGACAGGGAAAAACTCCTCGCGGTACAGAACACGCCACCACTCACTTAAGAACTCAAACAACCAAAAAACTAAGAACAAGCCAAACGAGCATATGCTCAGTTCCGACGTGGTATTCAGAACAAGAACTCGCCCTTATGGTGTACCAGTGCGCATACAGAGAAGAAAGGAGCCCGAAACGCGGCGGCTGCAAGATAAGAACTCAGGAGGCTGGCTGGCGGTGATCCAAACAGCGAAAGTTAGTTTCAGATTCGAGCCGGGGGTGGGAGGAGACCTCGTGACAAAATGCTCGTACGCGCGGAGGGGGAGGGCGTACTCTCTCTCATGTTTCGCATACCTTAGCGGTTAGACCATTGACCAACGTCCTCGAGAGGACGCATCAATGTTTCAACAGGATCGATCACTGATGCCAATCGTTCCTTCCCACCTCGAAGTACTTTGTCAAACGTGGCTAAAACTCCCTAGCCGATCTACCCTATCGATATCACTTTCCGCCCTTCCAACCCACTTTCTGTGCCCCAGTACAGCTACCGTCTTCTCCTGGCTATAACATTCGTTACACATCTCTCTGTACCTTTTCCCAACTAGCTGAGCCATGTATATTCCCTCTCCTTCCTGTACCACGGACATTTCGCAAGTATATGAACATGGTCTTCGCTCTCGGAGCCGCAATCACATCTGGATTTGTCGTCTTCATCGTCTACCGTACTCATCTTCGTCTACGTTCTCAAATGTAAATATTCCCAGTCCTAGGTTTGACCTTCAGCTTTGTCTCTGCATCCATTACCCATCCATGTAGGTACTCCTTAAATCTATTCCTGCTTTAATATTCCGTATACATCGAGACCCTCCGTATCCTTGGTTTCATTGTTAGATTCATTCTGTCTTCTCTCTCGGCAAAAGCAACAACAGATTCAATCTCCTTGAACCCTCTAGACCTTCCTCGTCCAGTGCATCACCTTCGCCAATTTTGGCCCCCTTCCATGCGTCATCCACAACATTAACTTTCTCCGAAGGTTGGTACACCAATTCTTCTCGTTTGCCCACTTAGCCTCCCAAGCTTTTCTCGGCAACCATTCCTCTCCCATACCGTGCATGATGTACTGCCATCTAGGGGGCGATTGTACGGCTACATTGTACTCTTACAGCAGTAGTGTCTTGTGATGAAATCCACCCAGAGATATCTGTCTGTGTCCTCTGCATAGGGCAATCGGTTTAGAAATAAGAACGAGAACCTCGTTTACCATGGATACCTGCTCCAAATATGAACTTGGAAATAGGAACATGTGCTCGGTTGGAGGCAACCAATAAGCGTCGAGCCTCAAGCTAAATATGCGGTTGTGAAGTGGTGGCGCGTTCTGTACTACTTCTTATATTATTAAATCTTGTGGGCAATCTAAGCTTCTGCTTCCAAAGGTGAAATAAATGTAGGTCGCCAAAAAAAATCCCGTGACGAGCGTTTTTACCGCGATGTATCGGGAGCCACACTAGTCTAACTTAACAACTTGGGGCCGCAGTAAATCGGGCCACAACTGACTGTACGGGCGCATCATTATATGATACAAGCTGGGCCATCCAAGAAACGTACAAAATGGTTGAAAGCGATTTACACCACGGTTTTTACGAATTCGAACCTGAAATTTTGACATGTGATCGGCACTAGTATGGCGAAGACCTTGACTAGCCGCACCTTGATTTTTTTTTTTTTTTATGAGGTAGCCCTGTTTAAGGACAAATGGAAATCCTTTTGTGCGTTGGGGGACAACAAAAATAAATAAATAAAAGGTGCGTCTGATCAAGGTCTTTTTGATACAACAGCCGACCACACCTCAAAACTTCAGATTCCAACTCGTTGAAACCGTGATGTAATTGCGATAACCTCACATTTCCTTGGCTATCTTGTGTGTTGTGTCGGATTCTGCACGAGGCCATATCTCTTGGTAGAACTGATTTGAGCCTTTTAACAATCATCATTTTTCTCGCACTGCTCCCAGGTAAGTGCACACCAAGGTTCAGCTTATTCGGTGTAACGTTTTTCATGCTGATTTCAGTACCGGAAGTGTCCCCCCCCTGCGCCGCCAACTGATGGTTTGGTACCTTAATCAACTCAGACCCGAAAACGCTGGCACCTGCGCTTCCCATACTGTCTCATGAGAGCACCCAAAAAGTTTCAAGCCCAAATTCTTGGGAACGACAGAATGAGACTCGAACGAACGAAAGTGAGCTTTTTGCCTGGCCCAGCTTGTAGGCTTTGAAAAGGATATTCGAGATACATACATACATACATACATACATACATACATACATAATACATACATACATACATACATACACTACCAGGTCCTACTAAGTCGTCAGCAGTAGCAGCAGTAACTTGCACAGATAGCATCACCGGTGCCGCACACCCGTCCAACGAGACATTTCTCCTCACCTGATGGGTCTGTCTGTCACAGGGCACAACCATTAAGATTTTTTTTGCTTTCAGGGAAAGGCTCCGCCATCATACGTGATATTGCTGCACCGGTCGCCCCGGTGGTCTAGTGGTAACTTCAACACTGCTTCACTGGCAAGGTTGTGAGTTCGAATTCCCATGGGTTTTGTGCGAAGGTGTACCGATTCTGGTAAAATTCAATCGACGGATACCCTGCGAATCGAGTCCTTCTTAACTCTCCACGCACAGAATTTACCCTCAACTGGGAACCTCTTGTGGCCAGGACGGGTAATTCGATGGAAGTGCCACAAGTTTCTTTGCAGGATCGACTTCAAGGAAGAAGAGGTGCTCTCAGGACTGACACACATTTGTGTCCATAGGGAAAATGTCCAAGTCGGGAGAAACTGTGCACCCACGTAGATTTGAACCACCATTGTCCTGCTGACGCCAAATGCGAACGTGTACCGGTTCTGTTAAAAAAAGTCAATCGACGGATACCCTGCGAAACGGGTCCTCCTTGTCATGTATTTTCCTGTTTTCGTCCTATTTCTTATGGCGGGAGTCCCCCCATTTTCCGTGGTGAGACGTACGTACGTGTACTAGCGTATTTTTTCGTGAAAGTACAACCACTCAGGGTCACACAGGAGGGGGTGAACACCAAGGATTTTCTTTAGATTTATTTTCGTGCTCTCCATCTTCCGCCTCTTGCGGTGCGTGCTGAATAAATTTTATATTTATCGCGAGAAGGGTTCCACCGTCCCTTTTCCTCGCCCACTAACGTCGAAGTTTATTGCGTTGAAATCTTTGCAAGTTTTGTGGGTGAAAGCGAAAAAGCTGAAAAAGCTCGTGAGGACCAATCTTCGACGTTAGCACCGTTGACGAGGGAAAAGGACAGCTATGGGCCTTCTCGCGAAGAAAAATAAATCTAGCACGCACCGTAAGAGGAAGGTGAGACACGAAAATATCAATGGAAAGAAGGAAAAAGCCCCGATATTTACCCCCTCCTGCGTGACCCTAGGATGGCAGTACAGAAAGAAGTACAGCAGCAGTGGGTACCGCAGCTCGCGACGGCGCTGGGGCCGGGGGCGCCGCGAAAATGACCACTCCATGCCCCTACCAAAAAATTACATGACATGAACTAGGCAGTACGACGTTTCTTTACATGCGCTCCCCCGGCTTTCACCCCTTATTTTGTTTGTCTTGGGGTATCGCACGATGATGTTTCTTATTGGGGCGTTTCGAAAGTTGTGGCCGAGATTGAGCTGTGTTTCTCAGGCATTTTTCATTTTTTCCTTGAACATTTGAGCCTTTTTTTCTCAAAAGTTGTTTTCTTAACTGCGGGTCTCATCTGTATGCCAAAAGGAAGGGTGGTGGTTGAAGCATGCGCACAGCGTACCACGAAGGGCACCAAGCTGGGCATGGTCCCGACTTCTTCACTCTGTGTTGAGTTTTGTCTCAGAAGTATATTGCAGATGAGAGCTGAACTATGTATCATCTTCACCGTGAATTTTGTTTAGGTTAAGGTCCGCACTACAGTACATCTTACTATTGTTATATGCTGCTACTACTCCTGAGTTGCAGACAGGTTCAGGTAGGTCCGCACCATATGATCTTACTGAGACGGTTGTGGTATGCTTGCAACATCTTAGCAACCAATGTGACTGTTGATGTGAGTAATAAGGTGCGAAAGGTAAATATTGCACGTATGCAACATGTTCCAACAACACTTGCAGAGATGATCAATGTGAGCAGTGTTTTGTGGGTCCGCACTACTACAGTAACTTCACCTGTTGCGTTTGGATCAGGTCGGCACTATGCTCTGTTGATATATTTTTCTTCAGAAGTACATTATCAATTGCAGTTTCTAGGAGTTGGATTGTCGTAAAGCATGTTTTGAGTAATGAGATTTGACCCCTTCCTTCAAAATCAACCACCTTTGTTTGAGCTGTCTGTATGAAAATCTCTTGTCCGACCACAGGTGCAGGTTGTTGTTGCTTTGCGTTGTTCTCTTTCTCTTGATTGATGCTTGCCAATCAATCCAACTCACAAGATCCAAGCACACACGATCACAGCCGGATCGTCTGCACAATAAACAGAAGGGCACTGGCCTCGGT